ATATATATATATATATATATATATATATATATATATATATATTCTATATATGTATATTTTTTGAAGGTTTAAGTATTTAATATTTAAAGACCAAAACAATAAAAATGTCCAGGGTTAAATACCAATGTTATTAGTGTCCAGAGATTGGCTTCACCTTAATAATGGTGACGAATTAGTCGCTGGACAAATATTCATGCGAGAAAAGCTTAAGCTATAAATAATTTTCTTATATTTTGTTCTTAAAGTTAAGCAAAAAGATGCCTACAACATACATTCGCATATATACAACCTACATATATATCTCTTATGCTATACACATGTATTACAAATATATGTTCAGTGTGTGCATCACTTAATGCGACAAAATAAATGTTAACATAATCGAAGAAAGATCATTGCATCTAAAATTAAGATACATGCGCCGGCAAAGTAAATCTCACGCTATTAGAAACGAAAGTGTTTAAAACCACTTACTGGAATAATGTGCAACATCGATTCTTATATTCTATTTACTTTTTGATCCACCGATTCTTAATCTTCCGTTCGACAAGGCTTAAGGAAGAAATTTCACCTACCAATGATTGTTTAACAACCACAACAAGGAATAGATCGATTCTTCGACGTTAACATTTTCAGATTTCATTGGAGTTTACGTCTCCGCAAAAGTCAACATTTATATATCTACGTTAAACAACAGTTTACATTACAGTTTATATTACTAATTAATTCTGAGTTTCAGATTTCGCTTATGATCGTGTTAGGTCCGTTGACAATTTCACTGTAATACCGTGACGATTACTACCAAAATTGCTGTTACAACAATCTAGTTTGCGCATTATCTGAATTGTACACAAATCTTCAGTGCATCATAAAATAAGAACATTGTGTCAAAATTTAAATTGACTCTTTATATACTCTCGGCATCGTGGAAGCCGTATCATTCACTGAATTGATAATTATTACACATTTTCGACTTGCAGATGTGACTAGCCGAAAATTTTCGGTAACTATCAATCTATTGAATGATACGGCTCCTGCAGTGACGAATCTATCGAACATTAACAGCTTTTCAAAAATTTCCAACTCTTCTATATAAAATTTACGGGTATTCACAATTATATGAACTGGAGACTCTACACAATAGCATGATCCTAACGTAATCGTCACGTAGCATGAAAAAATATAGAATTAAAATAAGGTGAAAGTATCAATATTTCTGGACATTTATAACACCAATACTAAACTCTGGACATTCTTATTGTTTTGGTCTTTTTAAGTACGAATATTTAAACTTTTAATATATATAGAATATAATTTACATATATATTGAATTATAGATATTCCATGTTGAAAGTTTAAATATATATTCGTATTTAAAAACCAAAACAATATAACGTAAAATATATGTATATATTTATAATGTATGTATATTATATAGAAATATATGTATATTATATATATGGAAATGTATATTATATGAAAGTTTAAATAATTGTATTTAAAGATCAAAACAATAGGAATGTTCAGATTAGGTATTGATGTTATTAACGTCGTAGGTATTGGTGCTTTTACCTTAGCCTTCCGAAAAAACTCGCTGTCTCGTTATTTATTTTTGTTTCTGTAAGTGTGAGACGTTAACGCGTTCGAGATATGATATTGCAAAAATTCCATTACTTTATAGTAAGGATTCAAGGATCGAAAGTGGAGCACGAGATTTCACCAAGTTTAGATCTCGATGCTAAAGTGCAAGAAATGGGAATTTCGTAATTATACCATGGTGTTTCGATCTGTGGTTCAGATGTTCGCCGAACAATTACCGTCGCGAGCGAGCCGCGATTTCACGTCGCTTCGCAACGTACTTAAATTCTTTATGGAGTCACGTTCGCCGGCGATGTCGATATCGCGACCGCTTGCTGCTTCAAGCATTGGGGGATATAAACCAAATGATCTGAACGGCGATTCTTCTTCGTTTCTAACGACGACTCGAAATGCTGGTTACTGCTGCGTGTTCCTCCATCGCTTAATTACCGAAGAGAGCAGCTTTCTGCCGGAATTGCTCCCGCCTTGCCGCCTTTTCCTCCTCCTCTCGTTTTCGCTCTTCTTGCTCCATGCGAATCTCGTCTTCAAATTTCGAAGCCTTTCGTAGCTGCTCGATCTGTAAGAAAAAGAAAGAAGAATGATAAAGAATTGGAGCGCGCACGAAACACAACTCGTTCGGGTTACGCTCCTGCGCGTACATTTTTTAGCTCGCGACACGCTGAAGTAACTTTCTAGGCTCCTGCCATGTGTCATTTGTGTTCATATGCATAGGAAATCACGTGCGTTGTACTCGCGATTTCCTATGCAATTGTGTATGACTCCGAAGGATTTGATAGGAATATTATATCACTTTTTTTCTGCGTCGTTGTGCAGCAATCTCGAACATTTTTTGCAATAATAGAATTAAACTTAAAAAGTGTAAATAATTAGATAATATTTGACAAATTTTCCGAATTCTTAAACAATTAAACAAGATTCTATGTAATTAACAGAAGACGAACAGACGAACACTCACACAAGAATGAAAAACGAGATACGGAGGAAATATTGTAGTTAACATTTCGTTAAAATTATATTTTTATATTATATAATATTTCTTTCAATAATATTTTTCGTAAAGATGGACTGTACTGAAACCAGCTGTACTATGTTAGTATAAATCATAGAAATAATATATTTTACGATCTACCTTGATACACGATATAAAAAAATATTTAGATCATTATAGTAATTTTATAATAAAAAACAAACACGCATAACATTAAAAAAAATATATATATACACACACTATATATACACACTATATAGTAACTTCGGTCATAATTCTGTATGATCTAAGATTTAATAAATCTTGTATTTTAAAAATATTGTAATAAAAGTTACAATGAACATTTTGTTAAATAATTCTTAAAACAATATTTCCTCCGTGTATCTTTATTATCGCGACCGAAAATATTCCTTTGGACATCCGGTTGCTTTGAAGCATGGTTGACATAATTAGAAGAACAATGAACTGAACAGAAACTTCCTACAATCGATTTTCTGTTTGGTCCCCAAAAAAAAGCTTATTTATACAAAACAAATTTTTTTCCGGGGACTCAAAATTAAGTTAAGATTATAGAAAAATTGTTTAAACGTAACAGGAAAGCTAAAAGAATGTTATCAACGACGATGACATTCAATGTGATATCTACCTTGGCCTCGAAGAAGTGTTTAGCACCAGTAACTCCAACCTCATCGACGTCAACCTCGGTGAGTCTGGCCAGCTGGCTCAATCCGGAATCCTGTTCTAACTCACCAGCGCGCGCTTTGCGATAGATCAGCAGAAACTGCAACAAGGCGTTACCATGTATTCAGCGACAATCAAAGTTATGGGTATACGGCGAACTTCGAAAGACCGACCAAGCTCGGAAGGGCGACTATTAAATCAAAAATGGAATTGTCGCGTGAAGGATCACGTCTCAAACGTTGCTGAATAGCGCCGCTATTCGCGAGAATCGAACAACTTTGTGCGCGAAATCTTTCGTGCGTTTCGTGCGAAACTTTTGTTCAACATTCGCGACTGGGGGAGATGTTGAAACTCATTTCAGCTCGTTATCTTCGCGTTTTCGGAAAACGCGAAGATATATTTATAATCGTTATTTGAGCAAAATTTCCCTCAAATGAGATATTCAGATTTTTATTCGAAGTTTCATCCGAGTTTTTCAGTTGAATTATAATGTATATGGTATTTATATATACATATATCTATAATCGCGATTCAACCGGAAAATTCTCTCATCTAACTTTAAAGTCAAATCTGAGTATCTCACTAGAGACGAGTTTCGGGTAACAACTATCAATACGGACCTTATCGCGTGATTTTTATCGCTGCTTAATTGAAGCGTGCAAGCGCACTTAGGGGGAACGATGGAATCATTCTCATTAAACGGTGAAAAGCTGTGACAAGTGCGATTCGCGGCCGAGAGGAGGGACAGCAATACGTGTCACGACGGTTTTACGGTAATTCATAACGGCCAGACGATGAGTAAGAGGAAGGTGAGTAAGCCGAGCACGCTGCTACTCGAGTATATCGCGCAATGAATCACGACGATCGACGCGAGCATGGCGAATCGCGTATGCTGGCCTTTGTCCGCGAAACGCGGAATGTCACGTGCGATTGTCCACGTTCTGCATTTTGCATGAACGCCGAGCCGATCGACGCGATTTTCCTACAGGAGTACCTTCTCGGCTTACGACCGTTGTATCGTGTTGCGCGGAGATTGCGTTAACAGCGAAAGTTTCTGGTGCCGTTTCGCATGCTCCGCATTCAGCGGGCGCCTTGCAAAATCGGTTAGGCACAATTGATTCCGCATGCAGGCGCCGTTATTGCGGTGTTGTTCTCGTTATACCGACGTACAGTGCGACAAATCAGCAATCCGAAGGATCGGAGACAATTCTCAATCTGATGCATCAATTTGATATTTTAGGCTTTCGCGGCGTCCATGCATATTAGGGTTGCGTTCCAAAACATCCTTTTTGAGGAAATTTTACTTTACGAGACTCTATAATTTATGTAACGTGAATTTAGGTATTGAGTAAAATTTTCCTCAAAAAGAACGTTTTGGAATGCAACCTAGATTTGGTTTCCGGGTTTAAGCCGAGTGGATTCTTCTTTGTTTGATTCCGACGTTTCGCGAACATTTCAGTGCGCTTCATCAAGGAGAAACGATCCGATGCCGAATTGCTGCTGAGCGATCTTCCTTTATATAGTAGTTGGCACAGGATGGTGGTGGAAAATTTGTTGTCTGTCATGTTTTGGAAATCGGGAGGACGGATTGCCAGATTGATGCATTAATTTTTAACTAGTATTTAATAGTTGCGCATAACAATAATTATATATATTTGGACTAAATAGTTATTTGTTACAATTCTTTAAACATAAGAACCATACGTTTTATAATTTTCAAATATTGTTATTATTATATAGTTCCTAGTAGTTTTATCATGACATTTTTTCCAGATCAAAATGTTACATAAATTTACTAACAAGTAAATATTACTTGTTTCAAGTATTTTATAAGTTTATATATTCATGAATCTATCAAAAGCTCGTGACAAGCAAATTTGCACAAAATACATTCTAAATCCTAGAAGATTTATTTTTACTTCAATCAGGAATATTAATTTAAAACAAAATTCGGTTTACTTGCTGCGTAGAATCGAATCAACTTTTTCTTCAATCAAGTTTTTCAGTTGAATTATGATGTATGTGATATCTATAAATGCGATTCAAATGAAAAACTTTTATCTAACTCTGGACTGAATCCAGGTTTTCTCATTTGAAACGAGCTCAGTTAACAGTAATGACTGTTAATAAAAAACCTTTTCCCTCGAATATTCTAAAGAGAATAAATTCTTTTTCAAAATACATGACAATAAGTTTTTAAAAAATTTATGGTAAGCGTATTTTGAGACTATTATCAAAGAAATATTCCTCATTGAAAATAACCATTGCTTAAAAAAAGGAAAGTAAACTGAGTAATCGTTTCTCTTAGCAGTACTATAATATATTTCTTTGCTCTTTTTCGCGCAGAATAGATATTTCGCAGCTACAGGATATTTAACATTGAAAATCGAGTCGTCGATTTTAATCTAAATTTTGCCGAGGGCCAGAACTCGATATTTTCCCACGGTGAATCCCGGTTTCGCGCGTGTCTCGTAGCGCTCGAGCAGTTTTTCGATAGTTTTTAAAATACATCATCGAATAAGTGACCGAAATAGAAGCACTCCAACGTACACTCTTCCTCACGCACACACCCACCCGCATGTGCCCCAGGAGAATAAACATGATCGTCGAAAGTGTATACTAGCTCGCACCAGGAGTACGTTAAACATTGCATGGGGTCTACTATTTTTACATGCAGTACACAAATGATCCTCCGAGTCTCACGGAAATTTCCCCGTTCGACACCCTGTACGAAATAAGTTTATAGGATGGCGCACGTCCTGAAAGTTTCCTGAAAGCGGGATTCCACGCAAGCTTAATGCGAAAGCACAAAAATCTGGAATATTTTCCCCCTTGTGCTCCAAGCGCGTGATCGCAAATTTAAGCGGAAACACTTGTCGGGAATGCTATTAACGTTAATTTTAGAGTTCCAGCGAAATTAGAATTCCTTTCCGGAGTCGCCCGTATTGCGCGCACGTGCGCGAGTTTCACGACGAATCGTTTCACGCAGAAAGCCGCACACGCGGTGAAATCTATTTCGGTTCGATACTTTTAGCGACCGCAAGTGCGGAGCTGCGAGACGCACTATCGTTGGTCAGGGTAGCCGCAGAGACCAATGTTTACACCGACCATTTGATACCGGTGCCCTAACCGAGCGCGGCACGTTTTCAAGCCAGCCTGCGGTGTAAAACGCATTTTCCTATTAAATTTACAACCCGACAAAATTGAATGTGAAATATGAGGTGCTTCACCACGCAAATTCCTCCGGACGTTGTACTGAGAGAACAAGTGGTTAATTTCATCAAAATTATAATCACTCTTGGCGTCAACTGCACTGAAAGAAAAAATATCTATAGAGCAAAACATATTTATGCAGTGGATACTAATGACATATTCACTTCAAATTCAAATTCTTTTATTTAAATCGTTAAATTTCGTTTAAATACAAAAACAGTTGCTTTCATGAAAAGCCACGGTTTTAGGAAATTATATGTATTTTTTCATTTTTTTCATGTTTTTTTCATTTTTTCATTATATGTATTTTTTCATTTTGGAAAAAATTGTTTCTCGATATAAAAATATATAGTAAGTATAAATATAAGAAAATATATTATTAATATCTATTGAATAAATATTTCTTATTTTTTAGACATTTTTCTCTCAGTGTACGCTTTCTTGTGATTTTAACAAATGATATTAGTAGCAATCCAGATAGATTTTCATGATTATCACGACATGAGACAATCTATGATGGAAACTGCACAATTACTTTAATTACATTTATGAAGTAAATGTATTGAATTAATTATAAAATTCACATTAATGTGAATAATAATTCACGGTAATGTGAAATTTTTATTGTATTAATGTAGCAACAAATTGACTAAAAGTTATACTTAGATTTTTATATTACATTTAACATGACATATTATTGTTTTTAGTAAATTTTTATAATTTTTTTTTGTATTTCTTTCGCATTTCTATTTTATCGTTTTATGCGATAAATATGATTGCAATTTGATCAGTTATAAGGGACTTAATGTTGCTAAATTTTATGATTTGACATACTTAAAGTTATGTGTGAAGTTCACGTACAGTCTATCAGTCTATTAGCAAATATGCGTGAAATTATTATCACTAATATTATAATAACATTTACTAAAAAAATAGTTCTCCTATATATAACTCTTGCACTTTGTTAGATTTTTAAATGAAAATAAAATGGAATAAAATTTTTTTATAAAAATAATTAAAAAGATTATAGTTATACACAAATTCCAAACACTTTTTTTCAGTGTGCGATTCTTATCAAATAACGTTAAATATAAGACATATTTATTTTTGCGAGGATAGAAGAATGATTGATTTTAATTTTTTAATTAGAGTACTAGATTCGAGCTAAATTCTCCCTACAACGGACAAGCTCTCTCAAGCTTTCCAATTCTTTCTTAAAACGGGCGAAATAACCACTATTGCGCCAGACGATTTATTTCTGTTCGTTCTTTTTCCGTTCGTTAATCCGGCGGAGATGTCGGCGGTCTTTCTCGGTGATAGTAAAAATATACCTACCTCACGGAAAGATATGCGGCCATCCCCGTCTTCGTCGACCTCCTGGATCATTGCTTTGAGCCCGAGATGCGTTTGCGGTGCGCCCAAGACCTCCATCATCCGTTTCAATTCGGCGAGATCGAGATAACCGTCGTGACCATCATCAAATCTGCAAACAACATTGACAGTCATTACGATCAGAGTATCGATAGAGACAATTTGTCACGCAGTCGTTAGTTCCGAGTGAAGACCGCGAGCACTTCTTCTCGTTACCAGAGAAGCGGCAATTATAACTTTCCTTGTGAAAGTTTGTAAGGTAAAAAAGAATTCGAACATCTGGAAGAAAAATGCGGACGAAAGAACGAACTTGGATTTCTCTCTAAAGAAACAATACTTCCTCTTACTCTTAATTTCCTTCAAGTGAATTTTATTTTGACAGTAATATATAAAAATTTAATCGATCTTTAGAAAATATATATTAAATACATTTTAATGTTAAAATAAAAGAATATATGTTACATTGAGAAGGATACCTGAACGTTTATTCGTTGGATATAAAGTTTATTTCTATAAAATAAAATTTATTTCTGTAAATAATCTTCTTTTATATCCCACAAATAAATTTATATATATTAATATAAATATTAATATATTTTAACACTGCATTTATCATATGCTGAGAAAATAATACTTGAAAATTTATTTGCAGGATATATATATATATATATATATATATATATATATACAGTTTATTCATATAAATAAAAACTTTATTTCACACAATAAATTTTCAAGTATATTTTTTCAATGTAGAGACGATCTAAAAATGTCAAGTCCGAACATTGTAAGGACAAGTATCGGAATATTCGGGCGTTAGAAATTGCTTAAAGATATTATCGGCCCGAGGGACGCGAAAGGACATTCGAATTAATACGATGAAATATAGTCCTTCCCGCTGACTGGCGAATCTTATCGCGACCTCCTTTCGTCGCTCGACGAAATAGCATCTTTCAGAGGTTGACCCGTCTATAAATCATCGCGATGACGCCGGTCGGTCAATAAGACGTCCGACTATAAACATGTCGCACACGTCGCTTCTAGTTAATCGCGATACCGCATGCAATCTAATAGCCGTATATTGGACGCGCCGTTGCGGAGGCAACGCAAGAAGAAAAATATTCGGGGCAGTGTCATTATTGGCGAACGAAGCTCGATTATCGCGCAGACGAATTATCCGTCGTGGAAATCGCAGGAGAGAAATCGCTTCCATCCACCTTGGTCGCCGCGGAAATAGCCGTTCGTTTCGCGAGAGAAGCCGAGAAGCACAGCGACGAGACGGAAAATGGCATAAGTTTTCGCGCGATCTTCTGTGGCTCGACAACTTCGCGAGGTAAACAACACGAGGCGCTTGTAGAAACGCGAATTGAAGTTGCTTGAGCTGTAAAATGAACATAAACAGCAAGGACGTTGGCAACAGCGGCCGCTGAAGTTAGAACGTAAATCAAATTAAATTTTGTCATGGTTTAATCCACGCGCGCGAGTAATTGCAAAGGAAAACAAGTCCCGCAATCGACGGTCCATGCACTGAAAGGAGTCTTGAACACTGAGGAAAAAGTGGTTGATTTAATGAGACTTTGCTTGAACGAATAAAATTTCTTTAAGCAAATATAATTGATTGAATGAATTGTATAGTTGCTGTGATGAGTTATCAATTGATTCAATGACTGCGAATTAGTCAGCAACTATACCCACGCAACTTATTGTTGCGTTAATGCATAATTTCTCCCAAAAACCCTATTATAGAACATTAGTGTCCTGGCTCTATCTCTTTGGTGCCAAACTTCCAATTTCTTTTGTTAAAACTACATTATATATTAAAACTATATTATATATTTGAAATAAAGTGCAAGTAAAAACGAAATTATATCTTTAAAAAACAAAATTGGTAGCGAAAAGATTAAACAAATTTTCGTGCTAAAGTTTTTTCTTGACAACAAAATCCTTTTTTCAATGTAGGAGGGGTTTCTACTCAGCTAATTACTCTCAGTTATTTCAACTGAGTTTTAATACAGTCGGATGTTCGAGCGAATGTTTTTGGTAACATAAATATTATTCCTCGTTAGAGAATTTTTCATCTGGTCACTATTCAATTACACGAACTGAAATTCTTTTTCCGTGTAACTATCATCCTGACTCGATGGTTAAACCTTCCCTCCAGTACGGAGACGTGAGAAAATCCAGTGAAGCTGGTGATTCGATTCAACGGCGCTCACGATATTTACGCTCACTTATGCAAAAAGGGTGAACGCTTATTTGATCCGGTCTTAATCAGAGAGGCCGATCGGATTTCCTTTGAGAGGTTGAGTGACCGCTCGATTAATTCGTACGTAACCAAAGTGCGTCGCGCGACGGCTTGTTGTCTCTTAACTCGGCCGTCATTAACATTCGCGACTTTCTTCGCGTTCGTTACGAGGCCGACGTCTCGCTTGACGGCCACGAAGGTGGAACATTTAATATTAACTAGAATGTTTCTGGTACACTCATAGAAAGCAGACGAGTCAGTTCGACGTTCGCAATTTTTGATCGCGCGACTTTTCGCGCGTCACTGCAATTTCAAACTTGACCGATTCGGCGCCAATTTTTTTCTCTTTTTTTGCATTTCTCGCAACTGCGACTATCGCGCGAGGGTCGCAAGCGTCGCGCCGTAAAAAACTTCGGTCGAGAGAATAATGCCGCGTTGTAACAAGGACGCAGCCGTTGGAATTTTATTACACGGCCGCGGCGTCTCCGTAAAGGGAAAATGCGGAAACGATTTTACCCTCTCGATGATGTTTTCTGTGTCATCATCAGGGTGACTGTTTGACATTAATTTCGCGCGCGCATTTTCTCCCTCTCTCCTTCTGTTTTTTTCTGTTGCTCGTACGAAACAGTGGGCGTACGTTAACGGACTAATGGTCGAGTAGATTGCCTGTTGCTAAAAACAACAAGCTGCGCAATTTTTATTCACGACTCGCGGAAACCACCACCTTCCTGTGTGTATTCCGCAAAGCACTCGGTCGACTGCATCGCCGTAGGACGAGATCGATTTAACATCGTAGCAGTCCATACACACGACGTATTAATAACATGTCGATGTGATTGATGTTATTAATCAGTTATTAAAGTATTCCAGCGTCGAGTTTGGAATCAATCAGCACGCGTATATACACAAAACACACATTCTACATTGAGAGAAGAATATATGAAAATTTATTTGCGGGATATCAAGTTTATTCGCAATATAAATTTTGTTTCACATAAATACACTTTATATCCTGTACAAATAAATTTTCAAGTGTTTTTCTCAGTAAATTTTTAAATATTTTTCATCAATATACTTTTTCGTCAACAAATTTGCAAGTATTTGTCTCAATACATTCTTTTTTTGTAAATTTTCAAGTCTTCTTTTCTCAATAAAATTCTCCTCAATAAGTTTTCAAATATTTTTTCTCAGTTAATATTTGAGTATTTTTTTCTCGGTATATCATTGACTCATTACTCAGAGAAAACTCCAAAGAGGAAAATAATCTTGCACGGAAAAATAATCTCGTCAGTGAAACTGAGTTTTCCGTCGTCTTATAAGAACAGAGACTAGATGAAAAACTCGTTAAGAAAGAATACTTGAAAATTTATTTACGGAATATAAAATTCATTTCTGTGGACAAACTTTATATACCGCAAATAAATTTTCAAGTTTTTTTCTTAATGTAAGAAAAATTTCTTTGGAAGGTTCCCAATTTGTTTTTCGTGTGCATATTTATTTACGACTAATCATTTCTAAAACAATCTATAAATTTCTAATCGTCCTAATAGTTGGAATAAATCTTAATTCGATAATAATATTATTAAAATTAATATTCAAGTTATTAAAACAATATACGATGTGTGTGTGTATTTGTTTCAATAATTCGAGTATTAATTTCAATAAATCACCATTCAAGAAAATTTCAAGAAAAAATAAAGAAAATTTATTTCTACCGTGGCCTTGTTAACTATTTCTATTGATTTAAGGATCCTTTTTCCGTATAGGAATGGTGGAAGGATTTACTCCTCTCGACGATGAATTTTTTCTCGCGCGAAACTTCCAAAGAAGTACGTCACCATTCTTCCTGTATATGGACGGGAAAAGAACAATGCGATCCCAAATGTGAAAGACTTTTATCTCGCGATAAAATCACACGTGATAGGAAACGCAGGAATTGCGGGACACGCTGTCGTCGTCGTTGTCGTCGTTCTCGTATCGACAGATCTGTACTTTTCAGTCGGTGGGAATGAAAACGGACCGGGAGGTGAAGGGGAAAACGTGGGATCGATCAGAGATATTTAAATTTACGAGACTTCCATCTCGCGGGATGTCAACCTCGCTTACTGCCAATCGTAACCGGAAACTCGTGAAATCGTGACTTTCCGCGTCCAAGACACGGTGAAGAATGTCGCGGCGCTTTCCACGCGATGTGTCGACGCGTTTATTCACTTCGTCGATCTTGCGAGGTTCATAGATAACATCGAGTCGGTTCGTTACTTTATCGCGCGAGCGTGAGGTGCCGCCGAGTAGAAGATGCACGTAGTAGAGCTTGATAAAATCTCGATCTTCTGATATATAACTCGAACGTTTGCACGTTTAATTACACGTGTAATAAATCGTCTCACGTTGTATCATTTTGAATGGAACGTTGGACTTACTTCACTGATTTACCTCTCTTTCTCTCTCTCCCTCTCTCTGTCCCTCTCTATTTCCCTCTCCAGTCTACGTGCCGTTACGTGTTGTTACGCAAGAATGATCAACGCGTATAAAGTAGGTTTCGAGAAAAATAAAGATGGAAATTTTATACGTGATTCAAAAAACATAGATAGCATAGAGATTCTTCGCAATTGTTCAAGAAGTCAAGCATTATCAATTTTCTTCTCTTTAAGAGTATTCGTTGACAAGCTTAATCCTTCGAAAATGGTTAAAAAAGATGCAATTATAAAAAAAAGGCGTAACTAGTAGAAAATAAAAACTTTTTAATTAATTTCAGACGCCTATAAGGATCTTTTTTGTTTTATATAGGCAGATGTTAAATTGGGGACAGATGGTTAAATTGGGTAATAGAAATTCGAAAATCAATTTTATGGATTGTATCATCCTTG